CTAAATAACAGAATACTGTTCTAAGAAACTATGGAGGTGGATATAAGCAGCTAAAGATCTGCTCTATGAACTGACCAGCCGGGCCCTCCAATACTTATGGGTTACGAAAAAAACGCTAAGGTTACCAGCAGGCTGACCACTAAGTGGCGCAACTTCGGTTATGAAGTCAGCTTTTTTGACTAACTCGCATCAAGTGTGCTGTGGTACTCAGTCGGAGTATGTAATGCCACATGATGTGGAAGTATATTCTCAGACTAAACTAAATTTCACAATACAGATTCCAGACTCTTCCAAAACGCAGTGACAAGTAGCACTGCTCTCGTGCTGTCGAAAGATCGACCCGCCAGTAGGACAAGCAATTTCTCTACAGTTCGTTGATACTGACACATGCCCAAGTGTCAAATCCGCTATTAGCTTGCTTTTAAACAGCATTTTAAGAAAAAAAAAAATAGTCATCGACAGCCTTACCCGACGGTGATTGCCATCAGCAATTATCATCACTCGGTCTAATTCTGAATGCCTTTGCACCACGTAAACCATGACTGCTTGGGTTTTGATACACGATCAAAATGCAGACCCGCGCATAAGTAAGAATAAGAAAACAGAGATGTTTCAAAATACAATAGAAAACATGGAATCAAAATTAATGTACATCAGAGACATTCCCACGGCAGACGAGCTTCTCCTTTTGGATCTCATCGTCATCAGTGAGGAATAATCCAAACAAACTGTATTCATCCACATCTTTGGTAGAGACATCCACCATGCGGCGCAGCGTTACGTCCGTGCCCAGTATTGCCGAAAGCACATTCATCTACACAGAGTAACTTGAAACCATCCGCACAAAGGCAGGGAAACAATGGGAGCTATTTTAAACCAGATTTCTTTTACAAAAATATGCGAATGGTATGTCAGATCTAAAAATCCCATTTGTGTTCACTTTTGTGAAAGGCAGATTATAGCTGTTTAGGAGAATCTGAAGATCGGCAGTGAGAATTGTCCTGATGGGTGCGTGTTCCAGAAAATGCCAAATTTTCCTCACCGAGCTCCGAACACACTTGCGGATAAGCCGTGCAACCGATGTAGCCGTTGGATAGACGGAATTTTCAAAACAGTAGACCCCATCAACTTGGATGATTGGCAGATGATAGATTTCACATGTCTCTGATAAGACCGAAAATCGCCAATTATTCCGATGAGTGCGTGATACCACGTAATCTCCTAAAAATTTGGGCGGTCACTCGATCAGGTGCTAGATCTTTGTTAAGTTACACAGTCTTTCTTTACTTTTCAGTTAAATTGTTCTTGTTGATTAAGTACTCGCACTTGAT